TACTGCTTTCAGCTGTTTAAACATTTTCGAATATAATCCATTTCGAAACCTACGAGTACTTACAAACGTTCCTTTCTATATTTAAGACAGATTTTTCGATGTCGAAAAATGAACAATAAGTGGTTCGCCAGTATTAATAATATATTGAAGTTATTAAATGGCAAATGTTTCCGAAGGCTCGGAGTATTGGTACTGAAACTAAAAAAGCGTCACCAAAAAGTTATAAATATCACGCCTCAAGGTGCCTGAGAGTAAATTTATTTTGTTCGCTTAAACAGAAACTGGGGTAATATGGAATTCAATATATCGAAATGAAGAGACGAAATGATATATTGATGAAATTTTGTACACAATTAGTAAATAAATAATGAAGCTATTTTCATGAATACGGAATGTAGATGAGATTTTGTCACGGTAATGGCAATAAACCACTGATTCACTAGGTAAAGGAGGAAAAGGGCATGTGAGGCTTGAAATTTTCTAACAAATGTGATCGACCACGTACTAGAGGGATTAAGGTTCTTATCACAGAAACTAAAACTTTTATCTAAAAATTGTCTGTCTCCATCAAGATTATATAAGGATTTTAATTGCTTAGGTTTATGTATGATATTTTTTTAACATAATTAGCTATAGCTATGAAAGAAAGAAGATTTTTTATTCCGCACTCATGGTAAAAATTATTTTGATATCAAAGATGAGAACGATTGGTTGAAAATTTCATCTGAAAAAACACATTGACACCGTATGTTTTTGCGCAGATTCTTGGTAGGATCGTAATTTGTCTGGAAGTATATGTTGTTGAAATATTTCCTCTATTCCTAGAAAATGCTGTCACAATAAACTGCTGCCTCAAATAATGCAGCATATGCTTTATAAGTATACATTCTGACAAAAAAGCACCCGGAAATTATAATTAAATTCCGCGGGTTAATGATATTTGAAAAAACTGTATTATGCTTAGTTGGTTTGACTGTCCTTAATCACTGTGCAAAATATGAGCGCGATCTGTTACCCGGTTTTTTTATAGCAGCTACTTAAGTCGGTACGCCTCAGTAAAGCGTTGCGAATTTTACAATGGATAAAAATATCGGACAAAGAGTTTGCCTCAAATTTGGTATTTATTACCAAATTTCGTGCGTGGAACCGTTACAAATGTTGGAAAAGGCTCACGGTGATTTATTTTTTGTCAAAAACGCACGCATAAGTACAAAGCCTTCAAAGTTGGTCGAGAGATCGCTGAAGACATGTCTCGTTTTGGATGGCTTTCAATCTCATCAACTGATGAAAATATTTAAAAATGTGAAGTGTATGGTGCTTGAAAATCATGAGACAAGCGAGCTCCAAATCTCTTGTTCGCAGGACTGATTTTGGCGGATATTTTGAGTGTGAAACCGATAAAATTGAATTTTTTAAAAAAATAAATAGGTATTTTTGGACACGCTTGATCGTGCGAATTCTGATTCCACATTCATGGAGATCATTATAACTGCCGATAAAATATGAGTTTATGAGCTTGACATGCAAACAAGTCAACAATCATCCGAATGAAGGAACGAAAGCGAGCCGAAATATTTATTTTCAATATTTGTTGTTTGGTGCATCATGAATTTGTTCCGGAAGCACAGACGGTCAACCCTGACCAAATTTAAAGCCAAAAGTGCAATAAATATGAAATTTACGGGTAATTTATTGTCACAATGTATACCTACTTGATCTCAGTTCATACATATGTATGTATTAATCGAACCTCTATAACATTATATACAAGCTGCTTTCCAAAGNAAAAAAAAAAAAAAAAAAAAACAGAGGAAATTATTTTTCGGCAAAACAAATTTATTGTATTCAAAATAGTATCGTTCTGCTTCAATAAAGCTTTTTGCACGGTCCAAAAGCATATCGAAAGTGTGTTTAAAGCTTGTTGGGCGGTATGGCCGCCAGAATGACGGTGTTAGCCTTTTGAATGGCGTATACGTCTGCATAACGCTTTCCTTTTATGAGGAAATACATTTTTTCATTCACTACAAGAAGTCGCACGGAGGCTTATCAGGTGAATACGGGAACGGTTTATGATTAAAATGTGATTTTTGGTGAAATAATCGTCCTTCGAATGTTGGATGCTGAGCAATTTTTGGTCGTCAGTCAATTTGTGCGGAATAAATCGTGCACACACCTTTCGTAAGCCCAAATGTTCAGTCACAATGCGATAAATCGATGTTTTGGAGATGTTCAAATCCATTTCCACGAATTTCAATGATGACTTCGGCTGATTTTTAATGAATTCACGCACAGTTTCGATGGAATTTCTGGTGATCACGGATTTTGATTAGCCCACATGTTGATCGTCATTTATGTCCTCACAACCACTTTGAAGGCGTTGAAACCACTCGTGCACCCTCATCGCCTTAAAATTGTTTGATCAATTGAGACGTTTCGGTAAAAGTTTTACTAATTTTAAAACAAAATTTAATGTTGGCTCTTTGTTCGAAGCTCATTTTCGCACCGATAACACAAACATACTGACACTTAAAACGCAATAACTTCAATTCCAACCAATGAAATGTCATGAAATTCGCACTGGACAATCATACATATACATATATGTATGTATAGATGTCGCAATCAGGGGCGCTAGATTCAAAAAGTCCTGTTTACTATGGAACGCACCTTATAATATATTTCATGCTTTTCTAGATTTCAATGAAATTAAATATTTAAAAGTACCTATACCTATAGTACGTTTCTGCCATCCGAATTGATAAGTAACTGGAAAGCTGACCATACGACAGGGCAATATAGGAAAAGCCTAACTATAACATGTAATTTTTATACTCTCGCAACAAAGTTGCTAAAGGGAGTATTATAGTTTTGTTCACATAACGGTTGTTTGTTAGTCCTAAAACTAAAAGAGTCAGATATAGGGTTATATATACCAAAGTGATCAGGGTGACGAGTAGAGTTGAAATCCGGATGTCTGTCTGTCCGTCCGTTTGTCCTTGCAAGCTGTAACTTGAGTTAAAATTGAGATATCATGATGACACTTGGAACACGTATTTTTTGGCTCCATAAGAAGGTTAAGTTCGAAGATGAGCAAAATCGGCTCACTGCCACGCCCACAAAATGGCGGAAACCGAAAACCTATAAAGTGTCATAACTAAGCCATAAATAAAGATATTAAAATGAAATTTGGCACAAAGGATCGCATTAGGGAGGGGCATATTTGGACGTAATTTTTTTGGAAAAGTGGGCGTGGCCCCGSCCCCTMCTAACTTTTTTGTACATATCTCGAAAACTACTATAGCTATGTCAACCAAACTGTATAGRKTCGTTTCTTTTAGGTATTTCCATATACAGTTCAAAAATGGAAGAAATCGGATAATAACCACGCCCCCCTCCCATACAAAGGTTATGTTGAAAATCACTAAAAGTTCGTTAACCGACTAACAAAAAACGTCAGAAACACTAAATTTTACGGAAGAAATGCCAGAAGAAAGCTGTATCCAGGCTTTTTTTAAAAATTGAAAATGGGCATGGTGTCGCCCACTTATGGACCAAAAACCATATCTCAGGAAGTACTCAACCGATTTCAATGAAATTCGGTATATAATATTTTCCTAACACCCTGATAACATCTTCCAAATATGGGAGAAATCAATTCACAACCACGCCTGAAATCTCGATTACCACTTTATCATGCGGGAGTATAAAATGTTCGGTGACACCCGAACTTAGCCCTTCCTTACTTGTTATATAAATAATTGTGATTAGTTTAAGCATGAACCGCTGAGAGGTTGCACTTAATGCTACTTCGAAATTACGGCTCTAATGTTTTAGGTTCGACTAAAGATATGAGGAATGATTTTAGTTTTTTAAACTTTAGTGTTAGCATCTTTTCGGACAGAGCTGGTAGAAGTCGCCTACTGAACTTGAGTAGAACAGAGAATTAAGCGGACAAAATCCGGCTGAATTAAGTAACATTAAGCGGGGCGACTAACTTCAGAACCCCTGTAATTAACATTAAAGAAGAAGGTACATTTGAAGAACCAACAACGTGTGACGAATATATTATTTTAGATTTCATATCCTTCTTCTTTTCGCCTTATTCTCTCGGACTACAAAAATCAACTTTATCAATGAACCACTCAATTTGTGAAATTATTTTCTCACAGTGTATGGAAATTGTATAAATATTTATTTCATCTTGATTTCGTTAAGCTTCGCAAACCACTACAAAATATCTTGGATAAATTTATACAATACAGTACTGTGGGGAATCCAATGATTTTACAGTGTTTTTCACAAAATATACATTGTTGTTATTGTAATCGTTGTTTGGGCATCGGAAACAATTTTTATTGTCCATACATACATATGTATATATGTGCATTCCATTTGTATATGCGGTTAACACCAACGCTTCTATTTTGCTTTTGCTCTTTCTGTCCTTGTTGTTGCTGCTTTGCTGTGATTGCGGCCTTTCGTTTGACTTTTCCACACACTTTGCCGTTGCCGTTGATATTTCTGCGGAGCGCGTTGCCGCGAAACCGATGAAAGCCATCACTTAAGTGCGGCTGTGTGTGCGCCTTTGTTATGGCTGTCGTTTGGAAATTTTTATGGGGCGTGCGAAACTGCATTCGTATGTGTGTATGTGTATGGCGTGTGTGTGTGCGTGTAGCGACCGCATACGTATGCGACTGAGATCCTGTGCGGGTGTTCGAATGGATGTTTATTGGTGGCTTTATGGTGTACGCGTCCGCTATGTGGGTGATTGTGTCAGATATTTTTGTTGTACAACTGCCAACCGCGGACCAACCGAACGATGAAGCGGGGCGAGAGGTTGCTTTCGGGTGTGAGAATTTTATCAGGGAATAGTTTTGCCCGCCTGTAGTACTCAATAGCACTAAATAGGTGGCGTGGATGTGCGGCAGTTGTTGTTGGCCACTTTTGCACTAAACGTTTTAGATGTTTTTAAAACTTTTTGTAGTCAAAACTAATTTGTTGAACTAATTTCAGTTGAGTAGCGCACGCTGAAGAGGCCAATTGTCCGTCTGTGAGGCAAAATAAACTTCAATTTTGAGAAATCAAATCAAAAACAATCAAACAGATTCACCGGACATCACCGCAAACACACCGCCCAGCCAATATGAGTGATAAATTGATTGTGAGTGAAAGCGGAAAGAATATCAATTTTTTACTACCTAATTTATTAATTAACTAAAATGAGCGAAAATCATAAATATCGTGTGAAATGTTATTCACACCTTCGAAACAGGTTTTTTCGCTAGAATATTTTTGTTTCTTTAATTTTTTTTTTTGGAAATGAAATGAGTTTACAAATAAAAATCGTGCGCCTGTGTGGGTGCATTGCATTCATGCGTGTTGTTAACGTCCATGTGAAATCCAAAAACCATTATAAAATTCTATTAAAAGCATAAGAATGAATTCGAAAATAGCAGAAAATGGAAAAAGAAGAATGTAAGAAAGTATATTGGAAAAGTGAAAAGCGCGCAGATTTTCACAGCAAATGTTAGACGGCACTTGTCGTTGCAATCATTCTGTTTTTGAATACGGTCCGCGTTGCAACACACAGAATTTCTAGCAAGACATCATGGTACGCCATCGAAACAGTAAAATACCGAACTTTTTAAGTTAACAGTTAGCAACTGCAATTATTTCAAGCATTTTTTTGCGACAAAAATTTCATTAACTTGCCATTATTATCCTTACTGCAGGATGAGGATCTGACCCCCGAGCAAATCGCCGTGTTGCAGAAGGCCTTCAACAGTTTCGATCACCAAAAATGCGGCAGCATCTCAACTGAAATGGTCGCTGATATCCTGCGCCTTATGGGTCAGCCCTTCGACAAGAAGATCTTGGAGGAGCTCATCGATGAAGTCGATGAAGACAGTGAGTGTGCGCTGAAGTGAAGTTTAAGTGCATTGAAATAACATTTATTTTCTCGCTGCCACACAGAGTCTGGTCGCTTGGAATTCGAAGAATTCGTGCAACTTGCCGCCAAATTCATCGTAGAGGAGGATGATGAAGCCATGCAAAAGGAGTTGCGTGAAGCCTTCCGTCTGTACGACAAACAAGGCAATGGTTATATTCCCACCTCTTGCTTGCGCGAAATCTTGCGCGAATTGGACGATCAGCTGACCAATGAGGAGTTGGACATCATGATTGAGGAAATCGATTCTGATGGCTCCGGCACCGTCGATTTCGATGGTAAGTGCGACATGTGTTTGCATGTGATAGAGAGTTTATTGTGAGAGAGTTAGTTGTGTTTGGTGAATGTAAACAAATCAATTGAGTGATCTTAAAGAATATGTGATTTTAAGACTAATACTCGGAATGGCATTTCACGTTGTTTAAAGTGGCTTAAGTGTTTGAAGGATATGAAAGACAAGAAAAAACGTTAACTTCGATTATTCCAAAGCTAGCATAGTCTTTGCAAATGATGGTCGTACAGTTTGTATGGCCGATAGTGTTCCTAAACAATTTCTTCTGAGATTGTGCTGTTGCCTTAAACCATACTTCCGTTGTACCGTGGCTAGAATAGCCTTCATAAATAAAAAAAAATTTCATACAAGAAATTGATGTTGTTCTTTCAGTTTGTATGGCTTTTCAGTTGGTATAGCGGTCCGAACTGAAAAATTTCTTCTGAGTTTGCACCGTTCCCTTTAACAATAATTCGAGACAAATATTTATGAAGGTATCTCATCAAAACAAAAGTTACACATGACTTCTTCTGCTGGACTTTGTGTCAATTTCAGAGAGTTTAGTAAAGTTTGATGCGTTTTAATGAAAAAAATAATCTAGATGTGTTTTAGACTGTTCAACTTAGTGATAGTTTTATTGCTTAAAATAATAATTGGATTATCTAGATTAACTTTTCAATCTAAAATTTATATATAACAAGTTGAAGTAATCACTTTTTTTGGGCGCAAAACCCAAATTCGTTCACTTAATTATGACAGGTAAAATATTTTTGGCAAACTGAAGTCAAAAATTTTCACACCTGATGCCGCTATGTGCTCCGCCTTTTCCTTACTTTTTAAACATAGTAGTGGATCTAACCTACATAATATAATGCTGTTCTCTTGGTTAATTGTTCAAATCATAATGTAATAAAACTTATTAGATTTTTTACCTTAAAATTTTTATCATCGGCTATTATTTACCAGTTCTTATTATTGAATAACTTTTAGTCTCATCCATAATTTTCTAATTTTCTAAATAAATGTTGAGATTAGCACTGCGTGTCAAAGGCAATTTGTTTGCAGTCAATCCAAATAGACGAACTAATTAGCATCATTTTCACGTATTTTATTTTATTTTTTAAATAGTTACGCTAAATACTAAGTGCGCCATTGGGGGTTATTTCGAATGTGTGGCATAAATATTTAAAATATTATTTTTCGAGTAAATGTTGGCTTAATGCCAGCACTGAAATCTAGCCGATATTTAAAATTTTTTTATTTTTATTGTTTTTTGTTTTGACAACTGATAAATCTTTTGACACTGACGTGGGAACGAGGCGTCATTTTGGGACTTCGGAGATATTGATTTGCTCTATGTGTAGCACTAGAAGTTTACTTAAATACAGATAGTTTCAAAGAAACATAACAAACAGCAAAGAACACAAACAAAGTGGCAATACTTGCTCGATCGGCCATACTTCGAAGTTTCAACGAAAGAACGATTAAATGATGATAAAAGTCATATATGCTCTATATTGAAACTGTAAGGTGATTTAGGCCAAGTTTCCTAGAGGGTTGGCATAACTTTCGTCCAGCCAGTGCCGTTGAGAGAAAACTGGGGTCCGACGATGATTGTAGTAAATTGTTGAAGAAAAGATTTGGATAAAATTGTTGGAGAGCCCCGGGCTTCCTTGATAGTTTGGGGCCTGGAAAAATAGTCCCCAGCCTCTCGTTCTTTCACTTTCACTGCTGCTAGCTGTACCCACAACCCCTTGCGCATTCAAAGTTTCAAAATCTTAGAGATAATTGATAGACTATCAAATCAGCCTTTGAACATGCGAGTATAGACAGTGCAGTAATGCAAGTGACAGAGTGAGAGACAGAAGGCAATTCCTTACGTGCCCCGAGCTCTCAAGGCTATATAGATTTCTGAAGATAGATACAGGTAGAATGGTAGGCATTCATTTTAATACTTTCATGCTATTTTTTACAGTTTAAAATATGGATATGCGATAAAGTACTCTAAAATGTTGAGTTTATCTTGTATTATGGTGCTGGATCTTTGGCCCAATTAGCTCCAATAGGTCTTGAGAGGCGATTTCATTTGAAGGAAACCTAAGTTCATAACTTTAAAATTATTATTTACAGTTCCATGATCTCTCCACAGTTCTTAAGTAAGATCCATAGAACAATCACCTTTGAAAGATCTTGAAGGCTTTTTCATATTTTTCTCGATACTAAATTTTATGGATCCGAAAAAATTTTTATGAACAAAACTTTAATTCACATCGGGATTATCTTAAAAGCACAATTATTATTGACGGCTCGAAGATTTCTATGCAGATCTTAAGTAAAATCTAATGAATAATTTTAAATATTTTAAAAATTCAAATATTTCAAAATGATATACCTTGGCTTATGCTGATCACCGAAATCTGCGCTGGTCTTTATTTACGTATTTACAATTTCGAAAACAATATTTAATTACCTAACCACATAAAAAAGTGAGCGAAAGCAGTGGTTACCATTTGTCGTTGCCAGACATATTAATGATAAACAGTGGGCAAGTGTTTTGAAATGCTTTAGAAAGTTATTTTGGTATTTAAAATCAAAACAAAATGCACACATTCACTTACATGTATATTTTCCTGGCAGTCAATAGTCACAAAAAAAAATAACATTTCGAAATTTGAAATTCGGCTAGAGTCAGCGCACCTCAGCCATGCCTAGGATAAAAATGCTCAGCTATAAAATTATAATCAGTTGCTAAACGAAAATAATCTTATTATAAAAAACGTCGGCGAATAAAATCAAAAACAATTTATGCTCTTCATATCACTTTTCTTGTGGAATATTTTTCATTTAGTGTATATGTATGTGTGGGTGTGCTGTTTGGAATTGAGTTTTATTTTTAACATTCCATAACAATCCAAACATTTCTAGTGTGTATGTGTGGCTGTGTGGTAAACTATGAGTGCTTGCGTGGGAGGGAACTGAGCACATATTGCTGCTTGCAGCGAAGATCCACATACTTATGTTTGATATATGGTATTTTTAATAGTGCCTATGCTGTGCACATAAATTTGAACGAAGAAAAACTAAGTTTCTTTAATTTAATATTGCTGCTGACCATAAATTCGGATGTTAATTTTCTTTCGTTTTATTTTTCTCATTTCAGAATTCATGGAAATGATGACTGGCGAATAAATATTTATTCTAATATTTAAATACTAGAGTTTTTCACCTAAATCTTGTATATATACACCCAAAATACAATATTTGTTAAATACCTAATACACATGTAAATACCTGAACATCGAATGGCGGAATATCAACACCGCGTTGGCAACCTTGCCTGAAAACATATATGTATATACGCATATACACACAATCACCATATTATATAATGTAAAACAGAGATTTGCCAAATAAATTTGTTTTCTCTTTTTTTGTAAAAAATTTGTGTGAGTTTATTTTTCTTTTCTGAGTTCAAAAGTCTGACGATTGAGGATTCGTCACTTGACTTGTCTTGAACTTCTAAATTATGTTAGGTCTACAACTTTGCTTCCGCCAGTTTTTTTGTAAATTTAAGGCTTTATTGTATAAAAACGGTCCCAAAGTGTTTTCCCTTATTTCCTCAAAAAGCAATGCTTAATTAACACACGAAATGCTTTATGATCCATTTTTTGTAAACTAACGCAAGTTGCTTTACAAAAATTATATATTTTTTTTAAACATTAGGTAGAAATCATATAGATGGTAGTGGTAGAGTAATAGTATTATCTATGTATGTGTCAGCTGGGTTAATGTTGACACAAATGTCCTAGATCGATATAAAACGATTTAATCGACCAGTGCTTGAGCGTAGAGACATATATTGGAAATCGGGGGAAGCAAAGTTGTAGACCTAGTATTTATATAGGTATTCGGAAAGAGGGCTACAGATGTAGCTTGACTTATGGCGGCAAGGAAGCAGGAACATATCAGTATGCTTCAAAACTGGAGTATAGACTGTGGAATCTGAATATTTAATGTGTGTATTTCAAAAAGTAGGCCCAAAACATTTTCTTTGCAACGTAATATCTTATAGAACGCAGAATTTTGTATAACACCAGGCAGGCACGCTTTCTGCGGCAGAAGAGAGAGAGGTTCTTATTGGATGTATCTTTAATTAACGGGTGCTACAAGCAGAGATAGCTTTTTTGTTTGACAGATTACGCATGAGTCGTTTCAAGCTGTAATTTGTTTTATTCAGTATTATTTGGCATTTCATCATGGAGAGATTTACTACTTATGCTTCCCTCAACTTATGGTCAACATTATCGGCCTACTGAGTGTAATATTCGCAACACCATCACTCGCCTTGAGACCCAGCATTCATAATGTTCGACCGTTAGAGCAGTGCAGAAAACGAGGTAAGGTATAGGTGAGGAAAATATAACAGCCGTAGCTGAAAGTATACACGAAGACCATGAAGAGTCGATTCGGCACCATTCGCAGCAACTCGGACTGATGTGTGAAACGACTTCGCGCATTTTACTTTAATATATTAAATTGAAAGCATACAAAACGTAGCTTGTGCAAGAACTGAATCCCCTCGACCTTCCTAAGCGACCAAGAAGATATGACATTTTCGATTAAAATTTTGTCCAGCAATTAGGCCCATTTCTGGCTCAATTGATATGTAAAAATTTGCTTATTCAAGAGCAGCCTTCCATCTAGGAAAAACGTGGTTTGGTCTGGTTTGTGGGACGGTGGAATCATCGATCCATATTTCTTTAAAAATGATGGCGATATTTGGTTTAAATAAGTTCCCTCCACTTCCCACATAACGCATCAATCAATGGAGTCATTGAGGGAACACTTCGGTGAGCAGATAATTTCACGCCTTTGGCTGGTCGCTTGGCCACCAAGATCGTGTGATATCACACCGCTACACTATTTCCTGAGGGGATATGTAAAGTCTAAAGTCTATGCTGGAAAGCACGCTTCAATTCAGGCCTTGGAGCAAAATATCACGCGTATCATTCGCCAGTTAACAGTCGAAATGCTCGAACGAGTCTTCGAAAATTGGACTCAACGTATTATCTAAGACATACCGGGGCCAAGACAAACTCTAACCTGACATGATAAAATGGCAAACCTTAATGAATATATTGACAAAATTTGAAACAAATCCGTAAACAAAAATGGCAAAATGAGCTGTTCAAAATCACGTCATCTCTTTCGGTGGAGGCGTAACCTGAAATACGACTTCAGGACTGTTTAAAAAAGCAGTTTTTTCGCTGTTTACACTTGAAAACCAAATTTCGATACATAAAATGGATTATATCGAATAAGATAATGGTTTCAATAATAAATTATAAATGTGAATAAATTTAAGATGCCAGAACTTTATCTTTAAATTAATAATTTTCATAATATGGTAATGACCTTTCAGTTTGGAAATATCCCACAATTAATGAAATACATTTTCAAAATTATTTAGGGTTTTCATATGGCAAATTTAAGTTTGTTTATATACTAAATTAAATTCTATGCGGATTTATGATGATATAGCCACATTTTGTTTATAATAACAATAAAAGTTGTTGAGAATATTTCTGTCACATTTTATTACATAAAATCTTCATAGGTGGATATAAATTCGGCATATGGTTATTCTCTTATATCTGAGAGATATTTGTAAAAAAAATATATTCTTAATTTTGTCAGTATTTCCCATTAAGAGGACGAAAAGTCATTGCTAATTCGGTAAATTCAATCTCCTGATGAATCTTGGGATTTAAGTTCGAACTATGTAAAACACTTCAGTGTCATGTGGAGAGACATTTGAATAATCAAGACAGCTTTCGGGAATATTACTTTGATTGTAGGTTAGGTTAGATTGCCTAATAGCATAGGCTAGTTTTTGTCCCTAGCGCTACCAAATGGAGTGCCGTTACGTAGTTCACGAGAAATGATCTTCCTTCAGAATGTTATCGCATGACGTGTTTTTCCTTTTGACATATTGACTTCTTCTAATGTCTCATACCGTGGACCCCCAAATGTTTGAAGCGTTGCCCTGTGCCAAGAAGTAAATAAGCAATGCTCCCCTGTTTCCTTGCCTTGCTCTTGATATTTCCTCTAGCCTTCTTGATCTGTCAACCCCATTCTGCAGGCGTGTTCCGTCAACAGATTTTATTTCAACAATGTTCGTCAGTCGTTTCCATCATGTGTGACTGATCATTATGTGTTTACCATCAATTGTCTTTGTGACGCGGCACCCACTAGAAGTGTAGTCGCTTGTTCCTGGTTATACTCTCCACTGCTGCTCTACATAAGAAAACTTCTGGCAGATATATAAAATGAGATTATTTATTTGATTGCTGCTCGACTCTACGTAGATGTTAACTCAGAGTTGCCATTAATACTTTAGAGGCTGGAACTGCGGCTTTTCCGATAGCCAAAACTTATTCCACTGATCGGACAGCTTAAAAGTTTGCTATATTAAGAAAGATTTTGCATCTCAACATATTTGAAAATTCTTTCAAGTAGTTCTTGAAAGAAGAACTAGTCCGTACACATTTATATTTGTTTGAGAGTTTGAGAAACTTTGGAAATAGCTATGATATAACTTGAACATCAATGAAGTATCCTAATGGTTACACTACTCAACAAATCTGAAGAAAACATTTACGACTGATGTGGTAAGATGCCTCTTGAGGTGTCGTGAATACAAATTTGAGTTCAATAATTTTCCATCATGTTCAACAAGTAGTAAATGGTGGTGATTTGGCCTCTAAAACTCTTTGAATACAACACAAAAAATCCGAAGAGTTAGGAAATTTTTAGTATAATTTTCTTCTTCTTCTTCACTGGCGTAGACACCACCCATGTGTTGATAGTCGAGTTAAGAACAGCGAGGCGGTCGTTTCTTCTTATTTTTTGGTTATTTGGCACCAATAACCGGTAAACCGGTACTCGTCGTTGTCAACGTTGCAGTTTGGTTCCAAAATAGATGAACGTATCTACGACTTCGATGTTATGACTGTCAACAGTGAAGTGGGAGAAAATTGGCGACAATTGTTTGTGTGATAATAGGAGATATTTCGTCTTGCTCTCGTTAACCACCAGACCTTTTTGCTTCGATCATGTCAGCCTTTATTTTTACGAGGACATTAAGCAGCTGGACATCGGCACCTTCCCAATTACATTCCAGGTACTCGCCATCAAAAGTAGGGTCTTTCATCCGAAGTTGTTTTCTTCTTTTGGGGGTGGTTTCTACGTGACGAATACTATAATATGTATTTTATACACATTTCTATTACGAGCCGCTTGTTTCCAAAAAAGAGGTGAAGACGCTTAGCCGTTCCCACGACAGTCGGGTCTACGAAAACCGGAATTAGACCGAATCCTTAAACCGAATATGTCGATGTGGCTCCGCTGAAACTTTCTCTCTTTTAGACATAACCTGGGTTGGTTACCGTTTCTATGGTGCGTCGGGAGAACGCAAAATTAGGAATTGGGTATAGCCTACGACTGTAACTGCTTACCCGACGTGTGTCTCTTTCGAATTAGTAGTAAGCAAGTATTCTGAGAAGCCATTCATTACACACAATAGAGTTATAATGCCTTTTAATGGTTTTGGTTTAGACAAGAGCTAATGAATTTCATATACTATACATAAGTTGAAATAAAACATTAAATTTGGTTCCATATTCAACAAGTTGCAACGACATCCAACACTTTATGCACGAATTTCAGATTCTCTTTCAGTAGAACAAATCCATCAAATGTTCGTTTAATGACACTTCATAACAATTTTAAATGATGAAGAACATTTGCAGCCACTCAGAAACGAACGTGACGTCCAATCACAAGTATAGCGTCTTCAGCAAAAAAGGCGAGCTATTAAGAGGAGTAATTAGCTATCTTATGAAACTAAAAGCAATTATTGTGTCTTCTGCGAATCTTCGTGTATACTCTTACACAATTTCAGTGCAACATAGCGATGCCGAAGGGTTTGTGGTTATGTCATAAAAATAAGAGGAACATCAATTTCATATACATAACTATACATGCCAAACATTTGGCGACTGCGAGTTACATAACAGAGGAGCAGTGTGTGTATATGTGCGAATGCGTGAGAATTTCTGTAAACAGTTAAAAGGTCTTTTGTAAGAGGCAAAATTCGCATGTAAATATATGAAAGCACAAACAACAACAGCTAAATGTATACTTTCAACATGCAACATGAAGCTGCAAACTGTATTTAGGTAATAACAAAACGAGCAGCAAGCTGCAGCTACAGTTATCCATCGATCACAGTGAAACAAATTGCGATCATTTCCGCTGTCGATTACTGATAACATTCATCAATGATTCTTCAACTTTGACTACATATTCATCACTTGCCA